TAAATGAACTCCAATGTACAGAAATCATTTTGTAAGCCTGCATTCAGCAAAATTACACTGCAATTTAAAAGACAAGCCCATGCCTTATCAAAGCAGAGACTGCCTACTATATTTTCCACAAGTCAGGAAGACAATAAATGAGATCCTTTGATAATTGTGATACTTAAAAACTCAATTTTTTACAAAGATTAAGTAAATTTGAAAGTCCATTTTTTGGCACAGTCCTTGAAATACTCATACATAAAACAACCTTGTTGTGTTTAGACGAAAATACCTTAAAATAAGATCAGGGTAGCCCATAGTTACAACAGACTATGAAGCAATTCAAAATTATACTAGTAAACCAGGAGTCCAGATAAGGACAACAGCAGAATTACTAGAAATGCCTTCATTCTTCACTTAGAACCTTTTTTCTCCCCTTTACTTATTCCTTATGGGGATAGATGATTACTTTATCTCAATAGTTCTGATGCTTAGATTACTCAGAAGAACCAAACTGTACCTATTTCTACATGGCAAAAGGAGGAGGATTAAGATAATTAAATCACTACTGTACAACTTGGCATATAAAATTATGCTTCCCTGCTTCCTATCAGTAAGTTCATTCCAACCTCATATTCACTCCAGAAGCCAAAAAGGTTGAACATAAGGCATGTTTATAATGACATCAGCCATTTGCTATACGTTAATGCAGGAAATACATTAAATTTATCTTGCTTCATCATTTGTTAGATACTGTTTAAGGATTCAGATTTTCACAATTCTTGTCTACAAACATTAGATATCAGATGTAAATTCTTCATCATTTTTTTTCTAACCTCAAAATAGATAACTTAGTATAGTCCTCCAACATTTAGGAAGACATTCTATTCGTTAAATTAGACATGCAATTCAAATTCTAATAACCCAGTCCCACTTTTGAAAACCTCCTACTCTGCTCGACAGTTAGATGAAAGAAGACTTTATTTACAAGTATATTTCTGCTCTGAAGACATCTTTTAGAACAAATGTATGACAGACTACAAGAGTCTAATATGAGAAGAAAATAAAGAGAAGGATTGTAAGAAGCCAAATGCAACAGTGAAAAATATAAAAGAACTAGGGCAAGAGAAGAGACTTATTATTAAGTCTGCACATTAAACCAATATGGAGCTTTGAAATAAACTATAGTTGTCTAGCTTTCAAAACAAAGAACAGAGAAATTAACAAATTTTAAGCCACGTATGTGGAAATTATGTAAAACTAAAAAGATCTTAGTCTTATTTTAGATAAAGATTTTTATTTTACTTTAAAATAAAAAAAATTTCTATTTTACTTTAGATTTTCTACAAATCAAAGCCATAATAAAGCTCATAAGCTTATCTCCTACTTAAACCTAACAGAAGGAATGACTAGTGGTATTACTGGTAGGCAAACCAATTTATCACTATGGAATGTTCATATAAATCTCATAAAAAGGTAAAATAAAAATGTATTTGGTAAACTGTTTTCCTAACTTCACTGTAAGTACAATAAGAGAGGTTCTAAAAAAATTTAGAGTGTAACTGTAAATTACAGATTCACTTTTCATACAGTATTTAACTATAAAAAATGTATAAAAGCAAAAGACATATAAGTGATGATTTCGTACACTTGATCCTTTTCATTTGACAGTTAGCATTAGGACTAACATTTTAATTTTAACTTCTCCCTTTGTGTAATATGCTAATTCCTCAAATGCAGTAGGGGTAAAAAGTCTTGTCTAAGAAAAACATTTGATTTTATAAAATCAGCCTTGCTTGCGGTACTCATGATTATATTAAGTTATAAAAGGAGCAGACGGGCTGTTAAAAGAAAAAAGTTATGTACTGTAAGAAAATTGAGACCACACTGGGTCTCAACTGGGAAAATAGTAAAAATTGAACCCACTTAAAAGAAAACCAAAATAATCTAAAAATAGTTGATTTAATTCAACTTTTTTTTCCCCCTTTTAGTCCAGAGGTGATACTCTTTTGCTGTGAACAAAAAAAAATTGGCTTTTCATTCTAAACAGTCCATCTGGATCCAATACCACACTACTTTGTCACTACACGGGGTTTTGCTGAACACTTAGCACCCACACTACCAAAATTAATTTTATTCCCGTCTTCACAAGACTAAAATAGGAGCCCTAAACTAGAAGGTATTGATCACTGGATACCGGAATAAAAATATCTATACAATTAAAGTAAAACATATTTTAGTGTCAACTATCTAGATATTTGGGTAAGAACTATTTAGATATACTGTCTTAGAAATTCACAGATTCAGATCTAGCTTGGTCAGATTTTTACCATTTTTACAGGTATGAGTGCACTACTGGTATTTACTATGAATGATAGACGTCACTTAGTAACACAATTCAGTGAAAACTTTTATAAGCACTTTGAACATAGCACACTAATCACAAATAAAATACCCTGATACCACGTATAGCACTACTTTGAAATGAAGATTTTAAAAGATTATAAAAAAAGGTAAGACACATGTTTAACTCAAATGCAGGCTCCCCTCCTCCTTCTCAGGAGCAGATAAATCTAACACGTGGGGAGTAAAGTTTCCTGCTCCTCCGTGTTTCTTATCATCTAGTGTTTTCGTCTATTTATTACCAACATGTTACTTCAATAATATGTAGGAAGCAGATATCCTACTGATGGATGAACAAAGCATTTTCTTTTTAAAATTTTATGTTTAAGTTTAAAATTAAGGGCATTTAGGTTAATATGGGTAAATATCATAGTAAAAGTAAACACAATTTTATTTCAAGTTAAATAGTTTGAGAGGAATTGTGAAGTATTCTCCATTGTTCAGACTGAAAAAATTATCTTGAAGAATGAGTAGGTATTTGGAAAAAAATGCTATGACAAAACAATTACAGTTCATGCATAACCAAGAAAAATAATCCTCTATACTAATACTTAAGAGTACAGCTAACCTAACAGTATTTACATATACATAACAAACGTAGACCATCAAAGGGAAAACTATCAAGACAGTACACTTCTCCATTTGCATTATACTAACAAAATGCTCTAAAACTTTTAGAAATAGCAATAATTCATAACTATTTATATAAAACTTGTATTTGTTTTCTAATGATTTTTCTAGATGGACAAGTCAGAAACAAATTCAAATTCAACCTCTAATTCATTAGAATAAATAGTCATAATTTCAACATCTACCATGCACAATATTTTTAAAAAAGCAAATAAAATGTGCCTTGTGCTATTGTCTTTAAACCTCATCCTCTACATAGTCCATTCAATAGACCACTAGTATAAGCAGATATATTTCCCCTTAGAAACTTCTACTTCCTTGCAAAGACAGTAATTATTATAGCAAAACTTTAGAACTCTATGTGGATACGTGTTTAGCTACTATAAATTGAGCTAAGAAACATCACAGCAACATACAACCTGCATGCAAGTATAATCATGGGGAGAGATACAACCACATGATTTCACATAATACCTGATCATACCTTTTCTTTGGCATTAAACAGGAAAAGCAACTAATCAGCAATACAGAAGGACTGGGGAGAATACAGTAAAAGTTAAAAAATAAAATTAAATTAAATGAAAGGATACAGCCTTAAAGCACCAGTCTGAGTTCCCACTGCCAGGATCTTCTGTACAGGATCAAAGGCCAAGGCTGAGGGTTGATAGGGAAATCCATGGCGAACAGTCTAGGGATGGGCAAGTGACATCACAGCAACCAAGGCAGAAAGCAAAGTTTTAAAACAGAAAAGTCAATAGAGGTATTAGAACCGAGAAGCAATTATAATTGATGCAAAACACATATACATGCACTGCTATAAAAAAAAAACTATGAAGTCTACATCAAACAAAAACCTATGCACATAGAATCTGAAACCAAAAAAACAAAAACACTATCCCAGTGTTACACCTTAATTTCTGCTTTTCCATCATAGTGGTAGGCTTTAGAAGAAAATTTAATATTCTATACTATTATGTCTGAGAACAAATTACTGAAGTTTGCAGTGGTCAAAAATTCTGTATATTCATTTAAAAATGCAATTCATGCTTTTTTTCAAGTGTGCTAACTTCATCATTACTTTATTTGGATGCTAAATACAAGTACTTCTAAGGAAATGCTGTCATAATTACTCTAATTAAGGATTCAGTAAAGCAATTAGCAAACATCTATCTCATCATTTTGCAACTGTAACAGAATGAAAATAAACACAGCATATATTTTTGCATTTTGCTATTAAATCCTTAATAATTTTAGGACACTGGGGCAAAAAAGTATGCACACACTTTTAAGAAACTCTGACTTATGAATGCCTGGTATTAATACCAACACAAGTTTGTATTTCTCATTGAGCAGCTGGTGAATTAATTCGCTGCATCATTCTTTCTGAATTACAGACCGCTATGGCAACTGTCGTGCCATTAATAGGCAAAAATCACAGCTCTAACTTTTTCACCAAACAAAATGATAGAAAGACCCTATGATTTCATATTTTAAGCCTCCTACCACATTTTAAGGGAAAAGTGATGAGCAGATATCTAGTTGAACACGTTTGGCTTTTTGATAAACAACATTCATTAGACACTGTTCCCAAAGGAAACTTGGAAGTCAGTGAATTATGTATTAAAATGCTTGAATATAAAAGCCATAAGAGTAAGGTCAGTATAATACGTTAGAAGCAACCTTGAAATGACTGCCGCACGTGAAAATCAACGAAAAGGAGTAAGATGATGTCAATCTCCAAAATAGCCCACCAAGCAAAGTGTGCTAGAGGAGCGAGACCTTTATTCGAGGTATGATTATTATTGGCGTTCTATCCCTCGACTCGTGTGTAAAGCCTGAGTTGCCCCTAAAACGACCCCGATTTTCGCGGGTCTGCGCGCTCCGTTCACCTTGCACAGCTGAAAGTGCTCGGACTGGAGCGTTTCCTGGATCTCGGGCTCCCGGTTCCCAGGTGGGTGCTGCTGCTGCAGCTGCTGCTGCTGCGAGGCCGAAGACGAGCCGGCGGTCAGGCCGTCCAGCACCTTCCTGATGTTGAATTTCCTCATGGTCTCGGCGGGGTCCCCCGCAGCCCGGGAGGAGAGGTAAGGGGCGTCCCCAGGCGGGGGGAAACCAGCCCGGGCCGAGGGCAGCTTCGACCGAGGACGCGGAGGTGTGGGACAGAGTGTCAGTGTGAGGGGAAGGAGGCAGCTGGGGAGAAGCAAAAGATAATCCGAGCAGGATATACTGCGACGGGAGAACCGCGGCCGCCAGAACCCCGGGCGCCGACCTCTCTTCCTCCGAGGCCGCCGCTGCTCGCCGCGGCTGCTGCGGCGCCACTTGAGCCGCCGCCGCTGCCGCCGACTCGCTCCGCGGCCCGGCGGCACAGCAGTGGCAGCGGCGCCCCGAGCCCGCTCCGCCTAGCCTCACCTGGCGGCGGGCTGACTCTGCGCCGCGCCGCCGCCCCGGCTCGCCCCCGCCGCCGCCGAGTCCATGGCCCGCGGCCCCGCCGCCCACCCGGGCCCCGCAGTCCCTCGGCGCTTCCTCCCGCTCCTGCTTCTCCTCCTCCCGGGGATCGCCGGTTCTCCGTCCGCCGCCGCCGCCGCTCGGCCTCCCGGCCGTTCAGCGCCTCTGCCCGCCGGCCATGGCACGCAGGGCGCCCGGGGTGGGTCCCAGAGCTCTCCGCTTCGCTCCTCCGAGGCTGGCTCAGCCCGCCCTCGCTCCTTCAGAGCCCCGGCTGCCCACCTCAGGCTCCGCCGCCGCCCGCGCTCCCGCCCGGCCGCTCCCTCTCGCCTGACAGGGCGCCTCGGCACACGGCACCAACGCCCGCTCGGAGCAGCAGCGACAGCCTCGGTTACAGCACCGGCCGCGGCGGTGGCGGCAGCTGGGCCTCGGCGGAGCCGGGCTGCTGAGCATGCGCACCGCTCGTCCCCCCCCCCCCCCCCCACCTCCTCAGCCACCGGAGTGGAGCTGGGGCTTAAATTATCCTCTGCGAAAATCCCAGACCGTGGCTAAATTTCTCCCATCTCAATCGCCTTGCCAGAGGATGCAGCTGCTTTTCCTGCAGCTGGGAGAGTAAAAATGTTGATGACTAACAAGCAGCAGGAATCCTTTATTTCAAAATCGGTCATTGAAGCGGGGGTTTATATTCTCACCCTTTAATGAGGCACACACTCCCGGCTGCTGGCTGCAATATTATTGTTGTTGCTTTATTGATGGGCTTTGTTTTGGATTGATTTGGATTTTGATTTTGAAAAACAGCGTCTAGACAACGGTTATGTCTGTGGCAAGGGGATGACAGACTTAGAAAGGGTACCAGGAAAGATGAACCTAGAAAGGGAAAAATGAATTCTTTCCTGTAGCTGTTACTGTTGGTAGGATGAAAGCATGGCCAATGGCAGGTAGCTGCTAGAATGGGAAGAGGATGCCAAAGGGAAACGGCTCCAGGGCTGGGTGTTTGCCCCGACCAGTGACACGCCAGCCCTGGATTCAGTCCGCACGCAAGCGTGGGTGGAGATGCGAGCGGGAGCGGGGGTGGAAGTAAACACAGCGCGGACACTCAGACCTTCAATCCGCCCGGTAATGCTGATTATCCACTAAGTAATCCCCAGCAGCTTCTCCACTCTTGCAAGGGGAAAGGAGGGAAGAATGAAGTTTTCGCTCAAACCTTTCCACTGCTTCACTGTCACAATCCCACTTGGATGCTTAGAGACAAATATCTGTCTCAAGTTTGAAAAGGAGGAGAGATTAATGATGCGGGTATCCTTTCCCGAGAGTGAGTTCAACGAGGAAAGGTGGATAGGAAGCAGAGGTACTTGATTAGGAAGGATGTAGAAACTAAGGAAGACGTAAAGAAGTATGCAAGCGCATAAAGACTAACTCTAACTCGTGGGGAGGGGCTGGAGAGGAAGGATACTCTCCTAGGCTACTAACTCCCTAGCCCTGAGGGCTCTGAGCTACTGAAGGTTTTCTGAAGCCAAATCAGAAGTGCCCGCCCTCTACTTTGTGATTGGCCGCCTACTGCCCTGCGCAGGGAAATTTTCGTCACAGTATTGGTTGATGTGACAGGCTTTCAAGAACCGTCAGCAAACCAACCACGACTGGGCCTCAGGGATTTCGGCAAACGTAGTTGTTTGTGGAGCTTCCGCATCAAAGGGCGATGGCTTACGCGTGGAACTTAGAAAATTGTTTTGTGTTTTAATTTTTACTGAATTACAAAGTTAATTCACTAGGTGTAACGAGCGATAAACCAGATTTGAAGATTTTTCTCAGGCTATTTCCAAGTGGCTCTGGGATTTTTGTTTACCAGTTTAGTCCTCTGAAACACATTTTATTGAGTGTGAGACATTGTGCTACGTACTGAAGACGCAAAATGCAACTCTTTCAACAAGCTCCCTAGTCAAAAGGTGGCAAACCTCATGTAAATTAGTAATTGTGAATAGATGTGATGAGCTCGTTGATGGCATCACGCAAGAGGAATGCAGAGGGTAAATTAATTGGCCGGAAAAAGCCCCGCGATGGTGAATTCACCATAGTTCAGTCCAGGTGAGGAGGAGGAGACCAGGTGAAGAGGAGGGAGAAGAGCATTGGAAGGCAGCTGGGAGGTGATCATAATTACCTGGGGAGCTTTTTAAAAATACAAATGCCTCCATAGGGGTAAATTGCAAAACAGAGAGATCACTTCCCCGCAGAAGATTATGATCCACCTTTTCATCTAGTTTGAAAATAAATCTGTTGGATGATTTGTCATCATTGGATTATGAAACCCTTTGGAGAAGGGACAATTTCTTGCTGAAAGGCCTTGTGGTAGAGTGGAAAAATCCTAGGCTTTGTTGTCTGCCAGACATGGATTTCGATCCAGACCGTGGTAATGTGGGCAACCTCGGGCAAATTCCTTACTGTTCCTAAGGGTCAGATTCCTCATGTGAAAAATAAGATTAATACTACCTGCTTCCTAGGGTTTTGGAGGATAAACTAGGGAAAAATGTAAAGTTTGCATTACATTAGTTACACATAGTAGAATGGAAAAACTACTATCAGTGTCCTTGGGGTGAAAGGAACTTCACCAGATCAGCAATATAAGCCAGTCCCGCCTTTTTGACTTGTGGAATTTTGTTTTGATTTTCATACCTCATCCCTCTCATCAGATTATGAACTCATCGTGGCATTCCCAAAACTTTGGTTCATAGAGGAAACGTAGAATTTAAGATGAATATGGAGCGTATCTGCTACTGTATGTTAGCTTTGTGAACTTGCCGTCTATCTTCTCCTAGCTCAGAGACATATCCAGAATTCTGTTAGGTAAAAAAAGAAAAACAATGCTCCCAAATATCTACCTTTATGATGGCAAAGATAAAATAATGGATCCTCAAACTCATGATTTTTCTTGTCAGTTTAAATTGATCAATTGACTTTTAAATTAGGATTTTAATTTAGAATTAAAATTAATTAGGAATTTAAAGTCTAAAATAAAATGACTAAAAATTCAATAATTTGTATTATTCCTTTTAAAATTTAGCACATAGCATACCCATAGTATTTACCCATAGTAATCGCTCAACAAAATTTTATTATTTATTTTTGTTTTGTTTTCATGAGTGAATCAGTGTGCTGATTCAAAACAATTTAATAGATTTCTGCCTTTGGGTAAGTGACATTCTCCCAAATGGAATTCTTTCTTACCTGCTTTCTTACCTGATATTGGAGCCTTCTTTCACTGTCATTTTTATCTTATACTCACAATTCTCCCTACAGTTAGGAGGCTACTGCAGTGATCCAGCAAGGAAATGGTGGCTTAGAGTGGAATGGTATGTGGTGAGAAAGGGTCAGACTCTGGACTATGTTTTAATGGTAGAGCCAAGAGGATTTGCTGACAGGAGGGTGAGTATCAGAGAAAGGAAAGAGGCAAGGATGATGCCCCCATTTTTGGCCCAAGCATTTTGAAGAATGGACCAGGAGATGATGGCATAATAATATATACCACTGACAAGTTATAAATAGCTATATTACATTTAGCTGAGTCAGGACAGCTCTAAACAATAGTTAGTTAATACAATGAAAATTAAAATGCAAAAGAAAATTGACACACAAAAAGGCAGCTCACTAAATTATTTGGTATGAAAGGCCAAAGACTAAGAATCCATAACATTCCCATAACGATCTGCCGATCTTCATTATTTTGTTTAAAGGCTCCCAGGCTAACAAAGGCTCTGTTATTGGTCTCACAGGGGCAGATGGATGCTGACTGAGAGGAATAAAGTAGAAACTAAAAATAAATATTTTTAAAAGAAATTATGTTATTGGCGAAAGCTTTCTGCAAGGTAGACCAACTGTACCTCACCTGCTAGCATTCATTTATATCAACTTAATTTTCATTTATTGAGTCCCAAAGGATGTATGCATGACAATAATTGATTCACTACAGCATTTAACAGAATATTGAATTTAAATTATCCGTAAATTGCAGTAGAGATGTTAGTTTGCCTAGTTCATGACCCGTTTTCTGAACGGGTCCCCTAGGCCCTGCTGAAATGCTGGAACTGGGCAACTGTGTTTTGATCCAGTGACCATATGTCTTGGTCTAAACTGATTGGATCAAAGGCAAACACCTGAAATAAGCCAACCCGGGAGATCATCTTCTTCTGGGAATCTGGCATTGAGTCATAAAGATGCTAATCAATTTCAACTAGAAAATCATGCAGAGCTGGGATTAAAGCTGAGAGTGCGCAGACGTCTATGGAACCCAGGAGAACAGACCAGACACACAAACTACACACAGAGAAGTGAGTCTAGTGAGGTAGAGAGAAAAGTCTCCATTCCTGACTTTCCAGTTCCCAGTCTTTATTACTTGTGAAATCTGGCAACACTGTCTTTCCTTCTTTGTGTAAATGAGTTTGAATAGGTTTCTTGTTCTTGTGATCAAATATTCTGCCAGAAATTTAGCCCCGACCTGCCCAAAATGTAAAGGAATGTAAAGATATTGTAGCCTTCTTTCACTGTCATTTTTACCTTATACTCACAATTCTCCCTGCAGTTAGGAGGCTACTGCAGTGATCCAGCAAGGAAATGGTGGCTTAGGGTGGAATGGTATGTGGTGAGAAAGGGT